CACCACAATGGTTAATGGGATGGTACCTGTTAGGCAGACCCATGAGCTGTGGGTGATTTGAGACAACTAGGCACTAGGTATTTGCAGCACGAGGTACTAATCATCTTCAGAGAACACCCCTCTCCATTACACACAAGGATTATGCTTGCTAAAGGGTATAGTCTTCAACTGAAAGCAATGTAGTCTAGGCCATTCAGACATCAATTATTCAAATCTCCATACCTGCAATATCCTACGTACTTCCTAGCTCCTACATCCACTTGCCACTATCCACATTTCCTTCACCTAGCCAAATGTATTCCCAAATTTTATATCCCAGGTCACTGAGGAAAACTAGATTCTAGGAAAGGCTGATATGAAAAACAAACCCCCTCCAGGAGAAGATCCCAATAGGACATAGCAAGTTTGAGCTGCTGCTGGTTTGGAAGAAACTTAGAATTGACACAACTTTTCTACTGTCATTGCAGAACATGACTGTATGTCACCGGGTAACTGGAATAGCAAAGAAAGAATCAGACTGTCTTTTATCCGTAGACTAACTACATCTACACGTTATCTTGGGACAAACCCATAAAATGCTTTTGCAACTAGCTTCCAAATTCATCCAACTACATGGACAGAGCTGGTTCAGCACAGCGATAAGCCACCTGGGCAGCCCAGTAAGAGGCTTCCTCTACATCTTCTGGAAAGACAGGAGATGGGCAGCTCAGGACTACTCATCCACAGCAGACACAGCTGCTTGATCTTGCTGGGATTCGGCTCCCTCATTTGTAGCAACTGCCTAAGAACATCTGGGCATTGATGAGTAAGGGATTTGAAAGTTAATTATTGAGAATAAAAAATTTAGAACAGTGAATCACAACTACTATCAGCCACACTCCAAAATCTACTCGAATTGGTGGGAGAATCAAATCTTTTACTTAGTCTATAACTACCTCTGTTACACTTGAGACACAGGGATGCTTAGACCACTGCTCTTGATCAGTGTATGTAGATTAATCGATTCTTGCAATGACTAAGTTGAACTGACTGGCTCCTCTTCCCATGTGTGCTTTGTGAATCATCTCATCCACAGTTCTCCCCCAAAGGCTTCTGTTCTTTTCTGCAAGGTCTTTCTGTATTTGTCCCACAGAAACAAACTCCCAGATGGATTCTAGGGGACCTGATCCTATGTGAAAACATCAGTTTAAAACTACTCTCTCACTTACGATTTTTGGCAAGCACGAAGATATGAACCACATGTCTGGTAGAGGAATTTGGCCCACAGACTGTTTTTAATTAAATGCTTGTCAACTGATATTAAACGGAACTTCAGTGGCATAAGAATGCTGCAGAAATGATTCATACTCAATGAAATTATTTCTTATGTAATTTACAAACTTCATTTCTTCAAACTGGAAGAATTTCACACGTGTTGAAACAACAATCATTTAAACAGTTAAAGTTCAAAAAATGCCAGATGACAGAAAACAGACAGAGAAAAATCCTCATATTTCATTTTTGAGGATAGTATTCAAAAGGGAAACTAATAAAAGCTGTTGAGGTACTTCATTAGTGACTAGGCTAACTCCAGCTACCAGCAAGTCTGCTCTTATAAAATTATAAATCCATTATATTTGTAGGCATCTGAGTAAAGAAATCAGGCCTGAAAACAGTATCTGAAAGGATGCAAAACAGTAAACATCACTTTCATATTCACTTAAATCCAAACAATATGAAGCCTATTCACTTTTGTCAGTAGCAGAAATGACTGCAAATCCTTTTTGCTGAAAATCCATTATCTGAACTCTAATTTTACTAGCTAACAAAGCAATTGAGCCATCTGTCCAGACTGCTAGTACCTTACTGTATAACTATTGGTACTTTTGCTACACAGGCGGCAAAAAAAAAATCAAAAGGAGACTCATGCACCCGCTCCTCATTCTCATGCTATCTGTCAATGCAGGCTTCAACTACTTATATTTCATCTTAAATATTGAATTGAAGGCAATTATTTTACAGCTATTCTAAATTCAAAACACAAACCATCTTTTTTTTACCATAATATACAAGCAAGCTTACCCCTAATTATCAATCTCACTGTTTCTAGATTCATGCTTCAAACTACAGGAACAAACGAGAGCATTCCCTGTCACCAAAGTGTCACTGTCTAAAGAGATGCTTTACATCATTCCAGTTCAAAAATGAGGTATCTAATCTTTAAGGAAAAGAACACACTAAAGGAGATGAGCAGGTTAGAACTTATATTTACACAAAGATATATTTTCCTGCAAAAAAGTAAAGTATATAACAGGACATGCCTAACTACGGTAGGTATCTTTTTAAATATCCTTCACTCAGATTAAACTTTTAAAGTGTGCATAGACCAAGGCAATAGAAAAATTAAAAAAAAAAATCTTATTATTTTTGTAAAAACAATCTTCAAAATTTTATGTCATCTCGATATACAAATCCCTGCAACTTGTTCATCAGTACTTAATGTGGGTGGACTCATTATTGCTGCATGCTTGTACTGCATGATGCAGATTACTGCAAGCGACCTGCAGTTCAGTCAGTGCTGCTGTTCATCACTTAAAATTCACAGATTTAGTTCCATTCCCCCACAAGAAAAATATATCAAAGTTAAAATTAAGGCCAGTGTTACAGAGCACATCTTGTCTCTCGCCTCTAACAACTGCAGGACACTTTCTATACAGGAGACCTTTTATCTGGATTTTCTTAAATAACTCAAGAAACTATAATCAGATTTTATTAGGATACAGCCTTAATTCTCAATACTTTTAGCATGTGAATTTGAAGTTTACAAAGAATTAGTCTCTCTGTCTTTCTGCACATGCCAAAATCTCACTACGCCATGTACAGTAGAGCCTGGACCACAGTTAGTGCCATCATTCTGTGTGTCAGGGGATGAAAAATTTATGAGGTGGCACTGTTAAAATTGCCTACGACAGAGTAATTGGACCCTGTACAGATAAAGATTTTTCATGATCAAAGCAAAAAATAAAATTAAACAGCCACCATCTTCAACCCCCCCACCAAAAATCACCCACAACTAAACTTTGATGTCTCCATAATAATGCCACTAAAAGAATAAGGGGGTGGGGAGCGGGGAGAAATGCCTTGCAATTAATCTTTATATCACACTGATAAAGGATATAAATGATTGCCTTGCAAGTAATACTCATTCCACTCTTTGTTAGAGCTCTTTCAATCTAAGGGGTTTTTTTACATGAATTATCTTTTTCATCTTGTTCTCTTTCTTGCCCAAGGAAGAGTTTGGAGTTTCAAAATCTCCATCGCCAAATCAGCCTGTTGAACCCACTGAAGAAAAAACTTGTCATTGTTCTGTCATTGTTCCTGTATACATGTCTAATGTGTACCCTCAGTTCATCACTTAAGATTATAAAATGGGTTATGAAGATGAGCAGACCAAACACATTCTTGCTATGAAAAGACTTTCCAGTGTATTTCAAGATTACAAGACTTGGTCCTGAATATCAAGCTGCCTACATCTGGCTGCAAGTTTAATTTTTAACTCTAACTCTGTTGAGGCACTCATTAGTTGTTCTCCTTATACAGGAGAGGAAAAAAAAAAAAGTAATAGAAATACAAAAGAGCACAACATACCTACTTAGTTTCATTTTTGTTTGTTTTGTCAAAATTAACTAGTCAGGTGTCAAAGTAGCTACAATAGATACCTAAAATATGACTTCATACAAAGAATTGGTGAATGTATAAAGTCTTACAAAGGTTCCTAAATCAGTAATAATTGTCCAATACTCCTGCCTTTCGGAGGATATGTGTTACTCTTAAGGTTCATTGAGACTTATTATTGTATTTCCATCATCCCTTCCCTCTGGCTGGTTAGTACAATGATAATCTCTGAAATAGCCCACACACTGAAATTACCAGCCACTCTTCACAAGCCCCAGAAGATGCAACCACAGTATCCACTGGTCTTATACTCCCTGGTCCCTAGCAGCTGAACACCTGCACACCATCTTCATCACTGAGACGAACGGACACATCCTCCTCTACCTCCTCCTCAAGCTGAAGGCTTCCAAATGAGTACTTATTTCTAGGCATGGGAGAGGAACTCAGAACAATGGGATTTCCAAACACCAGGGGGTGAGTGAAAGGATTAATGATTTCTGAATCAGAATCACTAGATTCTGTCCCACTGCTGGTGGAGCCCTCCATCATCTGGACTGCAGCCATGTAATCCACCACGCCACTGGCATGCAGTGACTGTATGACTGGACTATGCTTTGACTGTGCCCCAGCTGGCATACCATTGGCCATCATTTTGCCTTCTGGAGAAGACATCTTAGCCACTCCACCTGCTTTATAACATCTCTCTGATCTATACTCCTGCCCAGGGGTTGAGGATATCTGACTTAGGATAAATGGATCTGTAACTGATTTATTGCAGAGATCTGTTTTTTTCTGCGCACGAGACTGTTGAGAACCTGGAGTATATCTGCAGTACCCATGGCAGCTACTGTCATGGCTGTCCTCCTCCCCAGCCCTCACCCTGCAGTCATGCCCATTTTCTGAGACATAACCCTGAGAGCCAGTTCTACTCAGGCTCATGTTAGGGCTTGACCCTTTGCTGCTGGGAGGCAATGGAGTGGCCAGTGGACTACGGCTCCCTGGTCCTCTAAACATTTCGTCAACCAGTGAGCTATGCCTTGGCATCCTGGGGCTTCCCCCAGTGTAGAAGGAGATATTAGCTGGGTTATCATCATCAAGGTACTCTTCAGAGAGATACTGGGAAGACTTTAGAGAGGCCGAGGAATCCCTGTATCTACTTCTATTGCGATTTTCATCTCTGTAGTGAATATAGGCACCACTGGTCAAATCACCCTCATAATTGTCATTTGTTTGGGAATATGACCGGGTTATTTGTCCTCTGAGCAGATCATACTCGCTATCTACGTCACTGCAGTCAATGAAAGGAATGGAGGTGCTGCTGCCATGAGCAGCCCTGGAAGCTGGACCTGTGCTTGGTTGCTGTGATTGAGGTCTGTTCTGCTGCATCCTGTCCTTAGCAGCCTCCTCTTCTTCCTCCACTGTTGACACCACTGCTCCATCCACCTTTTTGCCTTCCTTTGGGCTCTTCTTCAAGGAATGACTCTTGTGCTGTCCAGTGTCTTCTGGTGATGCTTTCAATTCCTTTCCTTGCCGGCAGCTCTGCACTGCTGCAGTATCACTGTCGTCTCCATAGGCAAAGCTAGAGCTCTGGAAAGATAAAAAAGGGAAGGCAAGGGGGAGACAAAGGGAAAGGGAAAGGGGATAGGGAGAGGTTTGGGAGGGAAGGGAGCCAGAGGGAAAAGGCTACGTGTAATTACACACCAGAATTTTGTATAGTACAAGATAGGAATCTCTTGAAAGCAGAAGAGGTAACCCAAGCTTCAAAACTAATAAAATTAAAAAAAGAGGTCTCTCATCTTCAATAGCAGAAAAATATATAAGCTAAGCAAGGGAAGAGAAGGCAGACAATGTGGTGGTATTTGAGGTGTTTCCATGCCCTAAGGCAGCCATCAACACTCTAGAGCATCAGCCTGTTCGCACTACTCTGAGAAACTGGAGGAAAAGGTAAACACATAAGACAAATTCTGCACAGCCTACTTCTATACACTAAAAACGCCATGTGTGGGTTTTGGAGCACCCCACATTCAATTCCTGGAGCATACCTGCCACTAGTTCATGGGCTGGCTTTTTTGCCATTTTTTTTATAATACGTTGCACCTGGCCCTGTAGCTATGGTCTATCTACCTGAGCTTGTCTTGGCAATTTTAAAATGCTAAAAGATAGTTCAAATGGGCTGCATTTGTAACAGAATTCTCTGAAGTTCTTAGATTTGCAGAATTGAGAGAGACTATGAATATCAAAAGGAAGCAATGCAATGAAGGTGAAGGTTCAGGCAGCATTCTTAAATACATTAAGCTAGTAGCTTGATCCTGTCATTTAAGGTTTATCTAACATAGAGTTGTGTAATTAAAGGTTTGCCTTAACAAACACAGATGAGCACAGAGAAACACTGGCAGGTGGAGGAACCCCAATATCATAGTCAGGAAAATGGAGCTCCCTGACCCGGCTCCTCTGGATGCTGTCCCAAGAGAGCCATCAGCCCATGGTCTGGGTATGTCTGGGATAGCAGCAGCTGGAGAGACCAGAGCAACAGACCTGGTTGGGTAGGTAGGTCAACATGTAATTGCTAGTGAACATTCAACTGGACTAGTTGATAAGTAGGATAAGAGTTGGGAGCCAAGTACAGGAGCAGCCATAAGTCAGGCCAGCCAGATGCTGGAAAGACCATGGGACTTGGGGGTCAATTACTAGCAATGTCTTAAGCCTGTACCAACTACTGGAGAGATGACTTTCATGTGTTTGTCTCCGTGGCTGACGTGATCAGGAACCAGAGGATCCAAGTGTCAGTTACTCCATAGACTGTCTAAGATGAATTACTGGAGGAACCCGCAGTGTGTGTGTGTCTGTATATCTGAGCACCAGTAACTGGAGTGGGGCTGAGAGCCTTGCAGGTTTATATGTCCAGCCACTGGGAGACATAGGGATCCAGGGGCCCATTACTGAATAGACTGAGTGTCTAAGACCAGTTGTGGGAAGGATCTATATCATATACATGTATACATAATTTCCACTAATGAACTTGCATCCTGATCAGCCAAAGAATGGAACAGGGTGAGGCCACTGGCATTGTGCTTGTGGGAGTGCTGTTTTCTGTATGCTTTTACCTATGTGGCTGGCTTGTGTATATACATTGAATATTTGCATTTATGTGGGTGCCTATAGCGAATACATAGCTACTAGCTGGACATGGGAACATGCAGCTGGTGCAACCTCGCCACTACTGGATTTGCAAACAATTCCTAATGCATAGCAACTAATAATGTAAGACAAATACTTTAGGTATCTACCAGAGATAATGACTGTAAAGCTCAGAGCTGTAATTTTTCTAAGGAAATAATTCTTCTTCTCCCTGGTTAATGCAACAAATCATCTTGTCATGGACAACTAAGACTCCCCAGTGAAGGAAAAGAATTAAACTTTCTCCAGATGCAATAACCAGCTAGAACCCAGGACTCCAGCAATAACACTGTGGACTGCAGCTTTTTCAGATGGTCATTAGTGCAGCTCAGACAAACCCTGTACTTGTATTTGTCTGGTTGTCTGGAAGTAACACTCTTCCACAGTGAAAATGAACCTGTTCCACTTGCAGAACCTAAAACTTACAACACCCAGGTTCCACAACTCCCAGTTAAATGGTAAGTGAGCAGAAATCTATGCTCCTGAAGTTTCAAAACAGCAATAGGGGTAATCTAAAAAGAAATGTTTAAAAGGCATAAGCCAGGGTTTCATCAACATCACTGACTTGTTTTGGCACCTCTGTATGCTGTTCTGAAGGCTGTGCAGTCAGACTCCTGATGGATTGAATCTTGCTGTGTTTCCTGGAGATAAAAGGAAAATCACAGTAAGAAGCCATTTCATTGCATCTTTTTTTTCTAGAAAAAGGAATCAACAGACATGCCTTTTAAAACAAAACCTCTCAATAGCAGCTTTCATAAAAGTTTGCTCCCAACCAGATTAACATTCCTCCTTTCTGTAAAATTTCAATGCACTATGCGCTGCAAACACACCACTGTACGAAAAGGGAGAGGCACTGAAGCAAAAATGGTCTCTCACATGAACATGACTCACAAGTAAGGAACTGTTGTCATGGCCTTTGTGGCATCTTGGCCATTACTTTCAGTTCATCACAAACAAGATGAGCTCAGACAGAACTGGCTCTAGCAAGTTGGAAGCTTTCCCTGGAGACTCTCACTTGAGGTTGGCTATACCCATTTCTGTTACTTTCAGTATTATTCTGAGCTGAGTATGTCTGTTCCTATACATTAATGACAACCCACCGAAGAGAGTGCAAATCAATATGGGAAGAAGTTACCTGTGATGGTAAGACATTCACTGCTGAAAGACAGACTGAAAAATACTGATTTTAAGGAAACCATGGGTTATACCAACTTCCACCAAAATATTCAGGACCAAAGGGGTATTATACAAGTGAGAAACTGTCAAACCAGCAAAGGACACTTTTTTTTTTAACTTGGACTAGTGCCAAGATCTTAGAATACAACTGCCTGGAAATCATTACTTTTCTTTGATTGAAAGATATCTAACAGGTTACTTATTTCCTCTCACCTTTCAAACTGCACTTTTTTGTGCCCTCCTTCTTTAACATAGTCAAGGACTTGCTTCTGAGTCCGACCACTGGAAGAAAACCACAGAAAAATATTTACTATAATTTACCACCTGGTCATCATAAACATGTATGAGCCTGCATATGAAGTCACAGCAACGAGAAAAGTATTTCTCACTGTCAGCAGAAAGTCATCTAAGATCATAAAGAAAGGGATCTGGTCAGATATACACATATTTTTATCATCTTGCATGTTACTTGCCTCTCTTTTTTTGCTATGGAGCTACTTCTTGATGCCATTTCAGAGCTGCTTAAATTCGTGTCATTTATGGGTTACTACATTACTGGGAAGTCACCACAATAAAAAGCAAAGCAGGGGTTAAGTTTTCCTCTCATGAACAAAGAATATTCTTGAATCCTTTTGAGTCAAATACCAGACTTCCCTAGTATGAGTAAACCATGGAACCAAGATGAAAAGCACAGAAATGCATTTCATGACTCAGTTACTACTATGAAAAATGTCAACTAAGCATATATACATTTCCTGCAGAAATGTAGGCTGGAAATCCCTTTCACCCCTTTTGCTACAGGCTGTGAAAAAGTGGTGAGAAAGCCCAGCACTTCTTATGGTGCAAAGTTATAAATTCCAAAGGAAACTGGGAGCAGTAAAGGAAACCCACACCTTGAGAATGCTCAACAGAGAACCAAATTCCTCCCATTCATTAGAAGCTTTCAACCAACTGAATTACCACAAGGCCTGAAAAAGGTTACTGAATTTATGTAGGACAGACCGCAGTGAGTGGAAGATGTAGCCAAAACCTGCTACAAGTAAGTTGAATGGACCTACAGTCTTCTATTTACTCAGGCAGAAACTTGACAAGTTATAGCTTGTTTACTCTAACATAGGTCCTTCCATCTTCATTAATTTACTTTGCAGGCAAGAAACAAAGTGGAAAGAGAGACTGGCCGTATCTGATGTTTTCTTGTGCAAGACAACTGGAGTGTACAGCTTACCTCAGCAGAGGGTTTCTAGCTCTTCAGCTTACATCAGCTTCGCAAACAAAACTAACTGTATGAATGAAAGGATTTCAACACCCCCTCCCCAGCATATGCAATGCAATACAACACAATATCTACAGTGAGGCTTCTGTCAGTGTAAGGAAAAAACCACAATAACCCAACTATCAGAAATTTTTCTACAGCTGTAACAATATCACAGGTAAATTTGGTCTCAGCATAGACGGTCATCTCACATGAATCCGTGGCAAGCATAAAGGTCTCAGCATGAAGACAAGCCACTGTTTTAAATGCACAGAAATGGGTTTACCACAGCAACATGCAATGAAAATAAAAATCTCTACTCTGTCACACAGGAAAGATCCCATGCTAGAAGCAGAGGATCCAAAGAGGGCCAAAAAGTTGCCAGCTACTGTTGTTTAGGACACACATGGATTTTCTTATGTGAAACCAGCTGGAATCTATATACTTTATCTCTTACCTCCAGAAAGCTACTTTGCAACACCTAATACAAAATTAATGAAGGCTTTTTCCCTACAGTATTCTTTGCATTGTTCTGGCTGAGAAGATGCAATGGAAAATATAAAGGAGCAAACTACAATGTAAATAAGGGAAGCTGAAAATAATAGGTTTAATCCTAGGTCATTATGGATGTGATTTAGAAATGGGGAGGCAACAAAGGTAGAGGAAGAATGCAGATCTTACCTGAACCTAAATGATGAACCTCTAGAAAAAAGAACAGGTTTGGGCTTTGGTTTAGGTTCCTCAAAAAGCCTGAAAAAGGCGTGATGCTCCACACAGATCTTCCAAAAAGACTTGCAAAAATCTCGACTGGACATAAGGAATTCCAGGGTGTCCTGAAATGAACTCTGCAAATAGAGATAGCATTTGCAATGTAAACAAGCAAGCAACATATATTACAGAGATGCACTGACAAAGCAGGTGCTACGCTACAAAAAAAAAGCTTCTTTCAGTGGCCTTCAGGCCTAACAGGCCCTATCCTTTCCACTTTGAGACAACACTAATCTGCCTGACAGTATCAGAGCTATTGCTCTAACTTCCTTTCATTGACAAATATGACAGAGATAAAATCAATGAGAAGAGGTGGTTTACATGGTGTAACTTAAGAACTGATGATACAATACCAGAGTTGCAGCCAGAAGACAAATCTGTGACATTCAGTTAATCTTGCTTTGCTCAGACTGCTCACCTGAGATGCCAGGCTGATGCATGCAGTACCAACAGTGAACATAAGAAATTACTTCAATTAAAGAAATCTTTTTGAGGCGATAAAAATGCATGTTTGATCTGTGAGTAGAAAATTACCAAATAACCTTTTGTCAACTTCATCAATTCCTGACAAAGAACTTACATTCACATCAGGCCGTAGTTTGATAAGAAAACGTTTCCTCTTGAAGCTCAGCTTTCGAACCTTAGCCCAGTTGAAGGCATTGATCTTGGTGTGACCCTACAGAGAAAAAAGCCAGCAGAGTTTAAGCATTCCAGGTCTGAATGGAGAAACCTAAACCACTAGAGAAAGCTTGTCATAAATAAATCATCTATTCACTTCACTTGAAATTATGGGTTTTCGTATCATTCCTCCTCTGATAACGCAAACTGTAAGGCAACTGGTGCTGTGACTGAAAGCACATACTTATGATTAAACTCTTGCATCTAGAGCTAGGTATACTGAGTTGATGTGAAACTATCTGACTCAGTACCAACTGCACAAAAGAGCATGTCACAGTTTTTGCCCAGATGATGTTATCTTATTCCACTACGCTGACTCAGATTTTCAGTGGACCAAGTCACCTCCCAGAGGTGCCTCCTTCTCTTTTTACCAGCTACAGAGAATGCAGGGAATCCAAACACATAACATGTCACCTCACTTTGGTGGGGTAGATTTCCTCCCTCTTCGTCTGTCTACAGAGCAAAATAAACACCCCTTTACATACTACTTAACTGAGGGAAAAACAGCAACTGAACTGGAAATACTTTGACCTTTCATAGGGAGCAATGGAAGTAAATAAAACCTAAATAAATTAGTTGTCTCTAAAGAGTCACAAAATGCTTTTCCCCAAAAAAGCAATCAAAACCCAGAAGCAAACAGCAAGCCTGAGAGAGATTATGTTCAAAATAGTACAATTCCCAGCCACTGCATCATTAGTCCCTACTCCCCAGAAGTCTCCATCTTACCTATGTTTAAAAGTATTTGAGGTTATTTTAAAATACTCATTGCAGCAGTTTGTTCAGTGAAGACTTCAGTACAAATATGCTTACAGCACAGAATTTTGAGAGCTACTACAGGATTGCTAAATGCAGAAACCCATGCTGATTTGGGTGCCGTCACCAGACGGATGTAGGAGTAATGACAGCGTGAAGATCTCTGCTAAGTCAACCTGCTGTCTAAGAATCACATAATTAATCTCCCTTAGAATATTCAGCAGCACTGATACTGATTTCTAAATAAATGACAGGCTTTAAAATAAGTCCGTCTGACTACTGCTTATGTCATTTGTGAGTGAACCTTTATTTTTCTCCTAATGAGGTCTTCATAGTTCAATTTCTATCAGTTATATCCAAAATGAAGAGATGAACTTAAGGCTCTTGCCCTGTGAAGTGCTTAAAGGAAGCCTTAAGCTTACTGCCAGACACCAATTGCTGGGCAGACTCCACCAGGTTAGAGCCTGACTTCTTTTTCAGCATTGAGTCTTAGAGCTTGACCCAGCAAAATCTCCAAGCATTTCTGAAAGTTCAAAAAGATGTGGTTTTGAAAGTCCCAAACACATTAGAACATGGAGAGATGACTGAATTTTAGAGCTTTATAGATCAGGCCAATGAGGTCCATGCTGTTTTATGTGGACCTGTACTTTCAGATGAAAGACAGTCTTAACTTATAAGGCTTTGCAATTCATTAATTCAGCTGATGAAAATACTGCAGGGGAGCATGGGATAGGCCTGAACATACAATTAGTTATGGGTTCTGATGATTCAACCTATGCTTCAGTTTTGGGGTTTTACTAGGCACACATTTAGTTGATTGGGGTTTTTATATATATATATTATTTTTTGTTGTTAGGTTGGGGTTTTTTTTAATTTCTATTTCAGAGCATTTGGGTCAGACCATTCTGGGTTTGTTGCTGTTGTTTTTCTTCATAAAAGGACTCAAAGTACTTTATAAAGTTGGAAACATTAGTATTTTTACTATAGTCAAATAGTTAAAATGAATAGTCAATGACAGTTGTAAGATTGTGTATTTTAAAGAACAGTTAACTTACTGTTTTTAACATAGAGTGAGGTAAGTAGGATTTTGGATGCTAGCAGACACAATTCCATCTGAGGTGAAAGCAGTTTATACCAGCTGACTACCTGTAACTTCACAACTGTAAAAGCTCAATTTGTTACTTACCTAAACGGAGCTGCAGAACAAGAATTTGATAAATGTACCATTGATGTTTCATAAATATTTGCTAGACTGACTGGGGTAGGAGAGAAGAGGAAAGAAATCTAAGGCAAATACTTTGGATCTTTTAGGGCAAGAAGTAA